TAACAAAAGACAAAAAAGAAATATGAGTTACAAAAACTGTGCAATCAGGGGTAGGGACGTTACTGCCCTAAGGTCCAAATGACCAGCATACCCCACCCTAATTAAACTATGCATTACTGGGTAGGGAAGTTACTCCACTAAGGTCCTAATGACCCGCGTACCCCATAATGAGGCTAAACTGAGAGGAAAACTTTTTAGTTTGAGAGAAAAAATCCTGCTCTCATAGAATTTGAATCCGGGACAGGGGATTCGAAGGCAAGCATCTTAACCACCAAGCTATTCAATTCAACTTCAATGTTTATTAGTACCTGTGGTTAAATTATAAGTTTGAATTTAATGCACAAAGATTTTTTCAAGTCTTTAATAATTATGTTGCTTTTAAGGCTATTTTCAAACAGGTTTGCGGAATTGAAGGCTCAACATTAACAATTTTGATTGCAGAAGAAAATGAACAAATGTATTATGGTTGGAGTATTGCAGGCTCACATGTCATGCAAACACTCACAATTGCGACTGTGAAGTAGTGACTCAACCTATGAGTATTTGGTTCCATAATATGTTAAATAAGAACCTCCTCTCATATGCCTAAATCTCAGGTGATGTCATTTAAATGAAATGGTTGACTTGAGATCAATAAAATGTCAGATAAATTTAGACCTTTTGATTCGTTCCATGTGCACATTCAGAAATGATCTGTATAATGAGATATGATATTTGACCTGTGTAACGTTGACATGTAATAAGTTGGGAAATATTGCATTGCTCTCTTGAATTTCAGATATTTAGAATATTTCAATCTGACAGATTTTGATCAAGACATCGTCTTCCCAAGTGGAGTTGTATGGCTTGGTGGTGTTTGCCTTCTAAATCCAGAGTCTTGTGTTCAATTCCTGTCACACTGCCTGTAGGATATTTTCACATTACTAAAAAAAGAACGCCACTCCATCATAAAGAGACTTGGTTTACATCTTTCCAACATGTTTGTTACTTGCAGTTGGATGCTAATGAAATAATGGTTTATACGTCTTTGTATCAAACTTATTTAAAATTATGTACTAGCCTAATATACTGCTATAACCAAGAAGAATAACAACAATAAATAATAATGAGAATGGTAGATAATGATTAATAATGTGGAATTATGTGTTAAAGCATTTAGACAGTGTTCGTCTCATTTGCCCTCACTGACATTCACTAGTAACAAGAAAAAAACAAGTATTTGTATATTCAATAAAACAAAAGTGATTTTTCACATTTATTGACGTTGGAACACAGCACTATGGTGCTAATAATAAATTCTTGATAACATATAGATTAGGTACATGGTGTTTTTTAAGAGGAAACTTAAGACCATGCTGTTGAACAGCCTTTGTACATTATTTTTTATGGACTTATAAATTTCAGAATTGGAATAATTGACTGTTCATAACTTTGATGTGTACAGTTAATTGTCTACTATGAGGTGACATACTTTCAAATTATTTTTATCATTATTCAATAAATTATTATTAATGCTGCTAGACAGCCCGATGCTGAATGGAACCCTTAGGCGTAGAAGGATAATTGATGTAATGCAAGCCCACCAAAATGTTAGATGACAATGTTTATAGAGAGAGCTGTTTAAAGTCAGTTTCGCAGTGAAATTTGTGATTATTTCTCTTCTCATCTGGATATTGTACTAGCAGCCTAATTATGTAACCTGATCGAAAACGAAATAAGTAACATTTCAATCTCTAAAGTGAAATTGAGATTTATTGATACTCTCAAAGTGAATGAAAGCACTATTTATATAAACATTTCAATTACACAATCATGCCGACATGAATAGGCGCCTTCGAAATTCATATTTGAGAAAAAGCGCTACTTTATATCGGCCGTTTCATAATGAACATCAACCTTGCCAAGTACCCTGTATTGTAGTTTTTCAAAGCCTCTTGAAATTCCATAAAGAAATAACAATTTTAATAATGCACATGTCAATTTTAGGAGAACAAAATCAAATTAATATTTACTTCTTGGTGCTGGAAAGAGAAACTAGGCTTTGTAATTTGTAAGAAGGCTGTTGAAATTGTTAAAATATGAATTACATCAAGTGAATTACATCAAAATTGAATCAAAGTAAAAACACTGAAAGTCTGAGATCAGGTAAAAATGAAATCATTTCAAAATCTATTCACATCAATCAAAGTCAAATCGGTGTTTTTTTTACCTTGTATATACTTTATAAAAGTTCCTGTATATTAAAAAGTGATTATGTAAAATAATAATAATAATATTATAATAATAATAATAATAATAATAATAATAATAACTTAAAAATCTAGAATTTTGCATCAGTGGTACACATACGGTACATTGACAATAAAACAATACATTCCACAGACTTAAAAACATAATGTTATACTGCATGTGAATAACCTATAACTTGAAGCATCATTGTGTCAAATAAATATATAAGATTTTAAAAAAAAGTATCATAACTGAATAAGAATGAACTTTTCTTCCCATCTCCACCCTCCTCCCCCCACCCCCACAAATAATATATAGCTGTACGAAATGTGCAAAAAATACACTTTATCTCCTCCATCCCCCATCCTGAAAAAGAAAACATTAAAAAATAACAAAAAAGAAAATTCAAACTCAACAATGTTGATTTGAATACTGTATTTCTTGTCATGCAGGTATATATGATGCAAGGTAAAATAGATCAGAGTACTACATACCAAAATTCACTTGTAATATGGAACTAAAAATGCAACTTTATTACCAGAGAGATACATTACATTTGAATTCCTGCAATACTAGTTTTTTTTTACCCTGGAATGTACAGTACTATATCCTACAAATGATGAAATCATTACTGCTTATTACCTTCTGCAAAGACTTTATGAATCCCTTGAAATTTAAACATAAATACATAGATTAAGAATGACATTCTTTGCAATTATTTATTATGTTAATTTAACAGTACACATGGGCATCCGAGTACTGAATTCACTATGTTTCCGTAATTGAGGACGATTAGGCTACTCCTAATTTTATTTAAAGTGTCTCGTTAGCTGATGTCATAATTCATTTCAAGCCCACATTCATCCTACTATTAATGTTGAAAATGGAATCATCTTGATATCTACATTACCTGATTGGCTGGTGATGCATAGCCATATTTTATAGTCTCATTCACTGTCTGTTAGAATGATCCAAATTCACTACTATACTTCAACTCACATTAGAATCTCTTTATTGGTAATGTTTGCTTTAAGTGTCATAAAAACCTATAATGTTTTATGAATTCATTCCAATGTCCAACACACGCACTAAGTATGTCTTCACTGTATGTGTTGATATTAGTGGCTAATGTACAGTGTTTGAAGGAGGCTCATTTGTTTGATTTGCTAAGATTTGGTTCTTGATGTCCTGTGTAAAAAGTCACTGGTAATTGGAATGACATCCTTAAACTTAAGCACAAGTTGTATGTTCATTGTATTATTTTCATCCTCAGACGAATTTACACAAATATTTATTCAGTGATAGAGATAAGAAAGTTTTATCTGAATATTAAAAGAAAATATTGGTACCTGAAATATAAAAAGATATGAATATGATTTGAAAAATTTACCATGCCGTTTAGTATCATCAAGATGAGAGCCAACCATTGTCAAGAAAATGTTGTGTTTAAATAAATTTTCGATAAAATTTGCATATATTTTGAACTGTAATTTAATTTCATTCTTGCTAATTGAATTAACAAACACCTTCTAAGTCTAGTAAAGATTCAATCTATTATTATGCTGCATTCTCTTCGTTGTACCATTTAACTTTGAATACCCAAAAAAGTCGTCAACAACGAGTGCCAAGCATTAATCCATCAATTTAAACAGTTCTTAAGTCTTTTAAATCATTTCAAAAATAAATTATGACAGTACATTGATAATGATGATAGATGAAGATGTTTTCTGCTAAAACCTTGCATATCTGAATATTCAATGCCTTTGAATTCCTTGAAAAACAATATTGAGAATGATGATAGTTATGATGATGATGGACATCATAGAATTGTTAATGATGAGGGTGATGATATAGAGTAATCAGATAGGTTTTAATGCCATGAATAGAAAGCAATAAGCTGATGCATTCAGTTGGCAGAATCTTGAATCAACTCCATCGTACATATTTTACAGTTATTTGAAACAGTGCTACAGTGTTTTATATTATGATAATGATCAGGAGAATGATAATTACAGTAGATTGATACATTAGAGATCATAAACTGTTCATGCTACTTAGAATAATAAGATAAATGGTTGTTAATTTAACAGTGGAAATTTTCTCTCTACTCTCATACATGAATTGTAATGAATAAATAAATGGATCAACAATGCATTGATGTTTTACTGTTGAGACTACTCATAGCCACCAAACCATAGGGGCAGATACAAGGGGACCTAACCATCCCCTTTCCCTAAAATTGTAAAAATAATGGAAAAAATAAGAAAATTTCATTAAAATTTAAGTCTGGGAGCTATTTCCAGCTATAATAATAATAATAATAATAATAATAATAATAATAATAATAATATGTTATATTTATATAGCGCTTAATGTCAACAAGGCCTCGTAAGCGCTTCACATTACTACCATTCATACCACACCATACCATTCATATAAAGATGCCATAGCCTTAAAAATGTTGTATACAGTAGGTACCTTACCTGGGCCCCTCTATACACCTGGATCGAACACTGAACCATCAAAATACTCAACCTGCATTGGGCAAACATCCTGAATGATATCCTGCCAATTAAATAACTTCAGCTTACCATTAAAACCATGCACTTAAATTTTCAGCACAGTACAGTGATTTTCTATATTGACTGATATAAATATTAATAATTTTCTTTTTTTTAACACAAAACATCTGTCTGTATTTATGTAGTTGCTTTAAATAACTCCTTGCCTTATTGTATTTTATTAATATTTTCAACATTATTTTTGTTTTATGTAGATTAGAACAGAGTCACAGGGAATTACATGAGGTGAATTCTGACCTTGAAGAACGTATCTTGGACATCGTAAGTTCAAATTAATGTGGAGATTTTGATTTGATCAACGACGCGACGCTAGAACGGAATAACTCATGCGTGACCCTCCTACCAGGTGTCCTACGTAAATTTGGCTAAATTGCGTCCTAGAATCCACGCGACGAGAACTTAATATTCTAGCGTGCGAAGAAGACTTTTAGTGACGTCATTACGTTCTATGTCGTACCGTCGTTGTCCAATCGAACGCTTCCTATTATGAACATACAGGTATTCGCTGTGTAGAGCAGCAACCCACATTCAAATAAAGCACTTTTCAGTATCTGTTCAAACATATTTTAATCCAAATTTATCTAGTAAAATGTTTACTTCTACTTTAAAAAATCCAAATTAAATTTCTCTATTATTAAATTTCTTTTTTAACATTTTTCTCTTAAAGTGTGCAGCCTATGAGAAGGAGAAGCAGGCCTTGAATCGAGAGGTTGTGTCAATAAGCCAGAAATTATTGGATGCAAAATTTGAGATCAACAAACTAGAGGAAAAAAATGTACGTTTTCACATTTTGATTTTATTGCACCATCACATTGACGTACTTTGCACGAAACTTGAGCTCTGTTTTCATCTTAAATTGAGAACAAAGTCATAAAAATATAGAAAGAAATAAAATTAGATATAGATTAATGCTCAGAACATGTTATGATAGCTGCAGCAAATGTCAAGTCAAAGTATTCTATTCATAGCAAACAGAAAATATAGTACACACCCCAATTAAAGGCTGCATTGCTCTATAGACTAAACTTCATTATGAGGGTAAGAGAGTGGAATTTTTTTTAGGCACAAGAGCAAATCTCAGAATTCGAGAGATTGAACTCTGGACCCTGGAGTTGTAAGATAAGCATCCAAGCTACAAACTACTGAGTTACTACGTAGTAATGCCTGAGGTTCATCTATTTGTTGTTATTGGCCATCAACCATTTGAAGGTTGTAGAAGGCGACTACTTGAACACCGAATACTGTAATCAAGTCGATACAGTCCCCAATTATACAGTAATTTATGGGTCTATACTCAGAAATGTTCATTCCGTATTATAATCTGAAGACCAGGTGAAATTTTACGATCAATCAGAAGATAATTTATTAGCACCCGATGTATTGTTAGTTTTGTAGATGAGAAATTACTTGCTGCACATATAGATATTATCCTGTGAAATTTATTGATTATAACATGTAATGAATTTCATAAAATGTTATATCAAAGTTTTGAAGGGAAAAAAATACAAAATTTAAAATCACCAAAAATTACAATTATGTATTTTTTGCATTAACTGCTTTTGTAATACTTTTTGTAATAGTGTGTGTAGAATATTATTATAATAATAGCTCAGTTTTATTTTAGCATTATGCCAAGCCTCTAAGCTTTTCACATCATTTCTAAAGTAAAAGAAATTCTTGAATCTCCATTCAGATTATAAAATTTCATTTGACAAAAAACTGTTGTATGCCCATATTTAGTCTTGATGTACCTTTATATTGTCATGATGTGATGTCATCATGACCATATATATGCATGTCGCATGTTTCTGTCAAATAAAAAATGGGCTAGTGTGGACAGACTGTAAGAGTTTTTCAATTTACACCTGCTTAAATGACATGGACCTTCAAATTGAAAAATGCAGTGGTAATGTTAATTGTTTATGCATAGCATTTTACATATTTAGGCTCATACTTTCAATTGAAAATATTAAAAAGTAATGTTTTCCTATCCAATTATTGAGGCATACAGTCAGGCCTGCATACAGTAATTATACAACAGCTCCTATAATCTTTGCATAGACCCTTAAATGACTTGGTAATCAAAATTATTAAAATACCCTATAAGAGTTTTGGTAATGAAGTGTCAGCGAAAACTAATTTAATATTCATATCTATCTGATTAGGAGTTGATGACTAATTACATTTTTTAAGTTACAAATTCAATGTTTTAATGGCATTTTTGAAGGTTTTTCCATTTTTTTCTCCAATGTCCGTATATCTTTAATATGACAATATAGTCCTAATAAGTGGGCGTCGTAAGAGGAAAGATAGTCATTAGAACATTGACATGATATGCAGGCCTTAATTACATGATTCTTCAAATTGAAGGCGGCAATACTTAATGGTGACGTTCATTATTGCATGGCGTTACCTTGCCTATGATGATGCTCATCAGATTTGGCAACTGTTCATTTGTGTGAAGGATGCTTGAAAATATAAATAGTTTGATGACCTTTAGAATGGTGCTGAGTATCAACTACTTGTTTGCATGTCTCATGTTATCTAATTATCCCCTAGAGTGGTCTTAGGGGTTTTTTTAACTAAAGATATTCTGCCAGGTAAAATTTAGAAATTCCCATCAAAAAAATATATTTTTTACCATTAAATTTCTTATTAAGCTAAAAAGAATTGGAATATAAAATTTTGCACTTAATTATTTTAAATATATTTAAAAATCTAAATCTAAGTATATATTTTTTTAACAAGAAAACAGCTTCATCACATCTACTCCTGTATTTGTAGGCCTATACAATGAAATTGGCTGCAAATTTGTATATTAAAGCTACTAACTTTAACATAAAAATCAACAAACTTAAATGGAATCCATGATTACTCTAGCAGGCATAGGAGCTACTCTAAGCTTCTATGCCTGCTGGAATCCATGACTACTCTAGCAAGCATAGGAGCTACTCTAAGCTTCTATGCCTGCTGGAATCCATGATTACTCTAGCAAGCACAGGAGCTACTCTAAGCTTCTATGCCTGCTGGAATCCATGACTACTCTAGTAGGCATAGGAGCTACTCTAAGCTTCTATGCCTGTTGGAATCCACAAATACTCTAGTAGGTTGTTGTAGGACTGTTTAAGCACGTCGCGCCCCAATACCCTATAAGAGTTTTGGTAATGAAGTGTCAGCGAAAACTAATTTAATATTCATATCTATCTGATTAGGAGTTGATGACTAATTACATTTTTTAAGTTACAAATTCAATGTTTTAATGGCATTTTTGAAGGTTTTTCCATTTTTTTCTCCAATGTCCGTATATCTTTAATATGACAATATAGTCCTAATAAGTGGGCGTCGTAAGAGGAAAGATAGTCATTAGAACATTGACATGATATGCAGGCCTTAATTACATGATTCTTCAAATTGAAGGCGGCAATACTTAATGGTGACGTTCATTATTGCATGGCGTTACCTTGCCTATGATGATGCTCATCAGATTTGGCAACTGTTCATTTGTGTGAAGGATGCTTGAAAATATAAATAGTTTGATGACCTTTAGAATGGTGCTGAGTATCAACTACTTGTTTGCATGTCTCATGTTATCTAATTATCCCCTAGAGTGGTCTTAGGGTTTTTTTTAACTAAAGATATTCTGCCAGGTAAAATTCAGAAATTCCCATCAAAAAAATATATTTTTTACCATTAAATTTCTTATTAAGCTAAAAAGAATTGGAATATAAAATTTTGCACTTAATCTAAAATCTAAATCTAAGTATATATTTTTTAAACAAGAAAACAGCTTCATCACATCTACTCCTGTATTTGTAGGCCTATACAATGAAATTGGCTGCAAATTTGTATATTAAAGCTACTAACTTTAACATAAAAATCAACAAATTTAAATTGTTGAATTTTATGGGTCAGTTTACTATTGAGTAAGTCAAATGGCCAGGGGTAAGTAAGGCAGGACATCGCTAACTACAGCATCAACATTCATGTTAGTTTGAGACCCTCCATGGTTTAATATGGTATAACCAAGTCTCCTTAGATAAAGGAGTCAGACTTAAAATGGAGGTCCACTGTTACCTGGCTCGTGCACACTGTAAAAAACCCATTACATTTTGATGGGGTTACTCTGATGTTTTGGTTCATTGCTACCGAATAATGTGAACATGAAGCTACTCTAAGCTCCTATGCCTGTTAGAATCCATGACTACTCTAACAGGCATAGGATCTACTCTAAGCTCCTATGCTGCTGTCATCCATGACTACTCAAGCAGGCATAAGAGCTACTCTAAGCTTCTATGCCTGCTGTCATAAATGACTACTCAAGCAGGCATCAGAGCTACTCTAAGCTTCTATGCATGCTGGAGTCCATGACTACTCTAGTAGGCATCAGAGCTACTCTAAGCTTCTATGCATGCTGGAGTCCATGACTACTCTAGTACCCCTTTCAGACAGACCTGCAAAACGGTATTAATACCGTATTACTTGAACACCGGCGTTCTATGTGATAGGGTAAATACGCCTAAACGCCGGCTTCAGTTAGACCTCCTCGGGACCTAGTCTTAATACCGCATTAATACCGTAGCGAGTTTTGCCCAACTCGATGTGAAAGGGTACAGGGTTCATCGCCGTCTTACGCACTGAGGCATAACAAATTAGACGGTCACACGAGCAGCCATCAACCGCTGCTGCAGCTAACAAAGCCGATGAAATCGCTGGCTGACGGTTCTTTTAGACGCGAAAATTGCCTGCACCTAGCTGCTCAAAATTCAAGCCGGCCTCGCCTTAAACGCTTCCTAAATTCTTTCTTCCCTTGAACGAAATGCATTAGAAACCTTCTGTTTCTCAATTTATATGTATTGCAAACATAGCAAGCATTAAAAAACATTTGCAAAGCAGCAGTTTTATGACTTCATCCCCAGCCATATTGGATTAATGGAGTAAACAAAAACTTGCACCCTCTTTGTTAACAAGCACAAGCGCCACAGACATCAAATACTCTTTTCCGCGAGAACCCTTTCAGACAGGATACAGTATTATTACCGTATTTCAACTAGCTGTGTGAAAGGATCTGCGCTGGCAATAACGGCGGCATGATTAGGGTATTATTGCGGTATTTTCTGTCTGAAAGGGGCTTAGTAGTCATAGGAGCTACTCCAAGCTTCTATACCTGCTGGAATCCATGATTACTCTAGCAGACATAGGAGCTACTCTAAGCTTCTATGCCTGCTGGAATCCATGACTAATCTAGCAAGCACAGGAGCTACTCTAAGCTTCTATGCCTGCTGAAATCCATGACTACTCTAGCAAGCATAGGAGCTACTCTAAGCTTCTATGCCTGCTGGAATCCATGATTACTCTAGCAAGCACAGGAGCTACTCTAAGCTTCTATGCCTGCTGGAATCCATGACTACTCTAGCAAGCACAGGAGCTACTCTAAGCTTCTATGCCTGCTGGAATCCATGACTACTCTAGTAGGCATAGGAGCTACTCTAAGCTTCTATGCCTGTTGGAATCCACAAATACTCTAGTAGGTTGTTGTGGGACTGTTTAATCATTACTACACCAAGCACAATGGATGTTAACTTTCTGTGGGGGGGGGGGTGTGTGCTCCCCCCCCCCCAAAAAAAAATTACTACGATTAAACAGTCGTACAATAATGATAAGCAAACCAGATGAAACTATTTGAATGTTTACTCTAGAAATAGGAGCTACTCTAAGCTCCTACGCCTGCTAGAGTAGTCATGGATTCAGCACATTGAACCAGATGAAACTATTCGAATATTTACTCTAGAAATAGGAGCTACTCTAAGCTCCTACGCCAGCTAGAGTAGTCATGGATTCTGTACATTGACCTTGCAAGGTATGGGTTATTCTCCTATATTCACCTGTACTTAAAATCACAACGCAGACTGTATTTTATTATATATGTTTATATAGATATATATTGACAAAAAATATTGTTTTCCAATTGCAGACCCGACTGAGAAAAGATTGTGAAATAGCAACACAGCTACTGCAGTGTACCCCTTCATCCAGCTATGCTCAGCATAAGATATCAAATGTAAGTGTACACAATTAGTACTTACCATTAACAATTATTTAATAACATTGTGGAATATGGTGGTTAGCATGTTAAGAGCTTGAAATTCACAAGTCCTGTGTGTTTAATTTTTGCTAACAAGGGGATTTATTTCTTTTCTCAAATGACATTCATAATGGGAGCATTACAATGTTTTTTTCCATTTAATAATCACTTCACATGAATTATTTCCAAGTAATATAGAATACTTAACACTGTTTAAAGCATTGTGATTGCCAAATAGAAAACTTTATCACTATCTAGAGACTCAATAAAGATCATTTATAGTTATGATTTAAATTCAGCATACATTCATATACATTCACGAATTATAGGGAGCAATCACAAACAGTTGCGAACATTTTTGACTAATAAATGTACAATCATGAATAATAATGTACTATCATGAATAGTAATGAACAATTTTGATATAATAATGAATAATCGTGAGTAATTTTGAATAATGTACAATCATGAATATTCATAATCATGAATAATTTTAAATAATATTGTAACATTGTGAACAATCATTGAACAATTTTGATAATCATGGAACAATTGTTCTCCCCAGCTACCTCACGACGTTCAGTATCACGTCCATAAGATAATGGGTGAAATGGCTAAATCAGGAGATACTTCAACTTTGAGTCCCCCCAGTCATAATAGCCCTACGGCAACATCAAACAACCCTGGGTACATAACAGTGAGCAATGAAAACAACCAACCTCTTCTGAACAGCGACTCTGCCATCTCAAATGGATTCTTGGCTGGACGAGTGTACGACTCCGTGCCTGCTATTGTCATAGCCAAAGCAATGCAAAGGAGAGATGAAGAGGAAAGAAAAGAAATGGAGAAACTTTTTCCGAAAATGCGTAGAAAAAAAGTTGAGTTACCGTCTGGTGAAATACATGACAAGGGGACACAGACATATCAGCCATACAAGGGATTGAGCCATGGAAATTCCCTTCTCTGTGAAAAATGTGGGGAGAGTATTGCACAGAAAGGAAATGAAAACACTAAGCCAAATGAGGTGAACTTACTTGACTTAACTGAGTCCTCATTTACTGAAAAAGTTGCAGCACCCACAAACGGACCCTCCCATTCAAGCTTAATTGCAGACTTATTAGTTGAATTTGAGGATCAAACAAAAATCAATGTAGAAAATGAGGGTTCTAAACCTGTAGAAAGCAGCGTCGAATTACTTAGTATTTTAGACACAAATTTAGTAAGTGAAACAGATGACCAAGCAGCTCAGCCAACACCGTCAGGTCAACTGTCTAAGAACGAAATGGATATATTTATGGATGCAGAGGAAGAGAAAATAGTCCTATCGAGAGCTAGTTCATCGACAAGTCTGCAAAGTTCAGCCTCAAGGTCATCTGAAGCGACATCTGTGCAAAGCTTACCCTCGGAGCCAGTCTCAAGTCGGCCGCAGAGACCTCTATCCAGTTCAAGCCTTCCAGGCAGTCCTTCAAGGAGAGCGAACCAGCATAAGTCACGCTCAGAATCTAATAAGCAGAATGGAGTCCAAGTTAAGAATACGATGGCTGAGAAATTAAATGGCACTCAACAGATATCAACACAAAATGCGGGGATTAAAATAGTGAGGAGTAAAGCAAATGCATTGTCAGATAGTAGCCAACTGGGAGAAGATATTCCACAAACTTTGAAAAATAATGAAAATGGAATTGTTCGTAAACCAGAAGCTACAGCAGGTGTACAGAGGCGCAAATTGATACCAGAGAGTCCTGCCCAAGATGCTCTTGAGGATGTCTCTATTCCCCAGTTAGAGAAATCATCTGTGTCTGTTACACCTCCACAAATATTCCAACAGACTAGTGTCTAATGTGGGGTTTGTTAAAAAAAGCACTCCATGTTCAATAACAAATAATTATTATAGATCACTTTTAAGAAATGTACCTGGTGATACTAAAATATATAATCATTTGTTCGAGAGAAACACAGGTTTACAAGTGTTTCTCATTATGATGCTTCTCAGTAGGAGTTTGTAAAAATGTTCCTACCACTAAGAGGCTACAAGACTCATAATAACCATTAGCAAGATAAGAGCTCAGGATTTTTAGGTTTCAAAAGAATTGTAATCAATATGGGCTCATAAAAAATCATGACTTAATATGTTGGATGTCATTTTTAAGACTTTAAGATTTATACATGAGTTTTAAATATCCATTTGATGTGTTTATTTGTATTTCATATTTTATGTGCAAAATGGACCTCTGTATGCTTACATGCATCATTCATTATTCATAGGCATATACTTAGATTATAACACTATTGTTTACCTATTTATTACTATAATATACCATGAAAGCATTATGCAATTTTTTTTTCAGTTATCAAACCCTGAATTTGATCAAGTAAAATACCTTGAAACAAACATATAAACATTTACTGTTTATTGTCCTGTATTATATTAGCCATACATTCCTTAAGCAATAATTTAATTGGTGTGAAGATTTTATCTCTCATACTGTTTGTGAAATTTTTCAGCCTTGATCTGGGAATGTGTTTCATGTTTTTTATTTTAATTATTGTCTTGTGCAATGATAAATTTCAATATATTCCCTTGAAAAAATTATATATCAAAATTGATTTCTTAATTAATAAATTCAAAACAAAAATGTTCTTAATGTTATTGAATTTCATATTTTTGGCTGTTTTATTTTACAGCTACTTTTGTACAATACTTAAATTTCCAACAATAATTTGTATGTTATAATTCTTTGATTGTTACTATTTTTATATTAATAAAATAAATAAGAATGTAGAGCTTGGTACAACTGTGTGCGCTATGTAAACCTGTTGGGAGTATAGAATCATCATACCCAATGTGTGACCACCTCCGCTCACTGGCGTGTATTCCTAACCTGCCCCCACTCTCTGGCAAATACTCCTAGTCATGTCCGTAACTTGGTACACACTCAATTTCATTCCAATACCACAATCTACCAGGTACAGTACCTATCCCCTGGAGAGAGGGAGACAAACACAAGCAATGATACCACCATAGGATTCGAACTGATGACTATGATTTGGTTGAAAGCCCTGTGCCTCACCGATGTGCCACTTTCATCCATGTATAGTGTATACCAAATATAATGCTGTATCCTACAATCATTTTGAACTTGTAAATAGAATTTAATAATAATGTTTATGATTAGGGCAGGTATAGGGGGTTTTGTAGAAGTATATGTATAGTGGGTAAGTATGTTTTGCTGACCATATTGAATGATTCGCTACGAGTAGTTTTAGTATTCTGTGGTTACATGTAAATAGCAAGCTAGGCCTGGGCTGTGTCTTCTATAAAATTGTTCAAACTGTTTTAATATAGATGATTGCATATTGTTAGTAAAATGTTAAAAGCAAATTAACTTTGTTGAGAAAATGACTCTTCTCATAGATTATTATAGTAACTGAAAACCTTGATTAACAAATCCTTCCAATGTCCATATTCACTAGATTTACACATATATTACACAAACATACATGCACACGCCTGTACAGTATGTATACCTTCACAAAAAAAAAAAATCAGTGATATATGTAATATAATATATTTTAGGGTTTTGTGGATATTATTTGAGATTAACTATTGCTTTACATGATTTCTTTATAATTTTATTTGTTTTTTTACCTTTTATACCTTGTTTCACCAGAATTTCTGTCTACTATTATTTTTTACTGGTGATTGATATGTAGTACTGTATTCAGTGGTATTAATAATACCAGCCATCCTTTACATTTTCAAAAACAGTTTTATTAATGTACTAGATAGAACGTGTGTATATTAAATGTTACATTCATCAATAAATATGCACTGTTCATTTTATATTTTCTACTGATATAATATATATTATGCATATTCATTTGGAGAAACAATAAGTCTTTGATATTAATAAGAAATCACAGAATATTTTGTTAATTATTAATCTGGTCTTGGTATCATCATCAAAATACTATAATTGATAAATTCCATATTTAAATTGTGTACCAAAAAGGCTACTTTAGTTATTGTACACTGTAATGTTTTGTATAATGTAATTACACCATTCCTAAAAATTGTACCATTCCTGAAGTATTGAGATTATTAATATAAGAAATTATTTGAATAATGCAGACCACATTTTTATTATAAATTCTCCTGTAATTAAAATAATAATAATAATTATTATTGCTATTGTTATTACTATAAATCCTATCTGACCAGTTAATATTAAGTACAAATTTTGATTATGTTGTTCAAACAAAATTGTCTCCGTCATAATCATGACAAGGACGAAAACATGTAAATTTTGTCATATTTGTAATAATGCTAAGTTTTTATACAGTTGTCATATGTAAATTATGTTGAAATATGCATTTTATTTTCGTAAGATGAAAATTTGGATATGTATTCTATTAATGCTGCGTTCCAACATAGAGCAAAGAAACAGTTCTTTGCTCTATGGTTTCAATGTTCCCATTATCACTGTGTATACAACTCGTGAAGAAGAATAACAACGTAAAATGTTTTCCAATATATATGAAATTACACAGGCATGAGTATTGTTTTTTATGATGATTCAATATATGCGATACCCTAATATATTGCATCATAAACTATGATTATAAGAATTGAGTTATGTTTAATCACTCTTTTTAAAATTGAAAATTGATTTTTTTTATTTTTTTTGTAATATGAGAAAGTGCTGCTATTTTATTGAAATAAGGACATTGATATTCTATTCCTTGATATTCAACACTTGCATCTCGGTATCTTTTCAAATTGATGACTGCAAGTCATGTTCACAGATTGGAAAAGCATTAGGACGCTTCTCGTGATCACTTGTGTATTGGAACACAGCAATAGCTTTGCGACATGATTAACATGTTAATTATAATTATAGCCAGTTATCAATAGGGAGCTCAAGACATTTTAACAGGCAAGAAATTATTTAATTCGGGCTCATAATGAATTGTCAATTGTGAGAGTCATTAGTGCAGAAATATAAATGTACAATTATGTAAATTTGACAGTGGTGTAGCAGAAAGCTCTATCTGAGCCTCCATTGTTAAGACGTGTGAAAGGGGATAGGTATCACATGTGATGTCCAAGAATAATATTTGTTGATGCCTATGGATGGTTAAATAACCCAGTTAGTAGGAAATTATATACTTATCTGACTACATAATATTGTACAATATATACTTAACAATGTGTTTCAAAATAAATATTATTTCAGAGCTTATAAAGATGTTGAGAATTTACACTTTCTGTGCTTTTGTGTATAAGGATGTCATGAGCTACAAAAATTGTAATTGCATAAAATAGAATGGGATGTCAGGGGTCAATTCCCCCTTTCGGCAGTGCCGGATTAAGCATCGTTTGGCCTCAAGGCACATTTTGGAAATGGCCCAAAAATGTTAATTGAATGGACCCCATGAACATCAGATGGCCGCAGGCACAAAATCTTTCGTGTCGGAGAGAAGCGTTACTTTGCCACAACTCTAACAGTAGAATGTCTCCGAGTTTTCTGGCCTAATAATACCGGAAAATAGAGTGTAAATAATATTGCAGTCCAACTTTTGATGGCCCATCATTTTCGCCTGGCCCACAAGGCTTGTGCCTTATTTGCCTAATGGTTAATCCGGCACTGCCTTTCGGACATGCGAGGACCTCCTGTCGGACTAAAAAAAGAACTACAGATTAAGCAAAGATATTGTGGTTTAAAAGCACAATTTTAGGCCATCTTAAACCATTAAATGTGTCCCCATGGAGTTGATTCATGGACGCTTACTGGGGCCCTAGGACACCATAATTTGGATTCCTCTGTCAGACTTGCTTGTCCCCCTGTCGGGTAATTTCTGAGGACACCACTGATTCCATAATATACAATAATAATGAAATTTAATTATTTACTGTAAATAATGTATTATCACAGTTGAACTTGCCCACATCGAATCCAAAGTGGCATTGAAAAATTGTTTGATGTAGATAAAATTACATTACAAAACATTACTGTATCATTCAAAGTTTATCCTATAATAACTTATTGTCTTGAATAACTTAAGATAAATTAACTTGGTTGAACTGATAAACATCCAACTCTTTTAATTACTTAGTGTGTTAAGATACCACCGAAAATACAGTACTTTAGTTTAGCAGCAAAGTAGTTCCACTGAGTGGGTTAAAATACTAAAAATTACCATTTATAGAAAGATGGTAGGAATGAAAGAAAAGAGAGAAAGAGGGAAGAAAAGACGAAAAAAAGGAAAAAAATGGTAAGGTAATAAGGATAAGAAAAAATAGAAATTTAACAATCAAGTGGATCAAAGAAAATTAAAATTACTGTATTTCCAAATTATTCATAACTATAAATCAAGTTCATAATATTTATATAGTTGGTATTCATTTTTTTGTTTAAGAGAAACTTTAAATAATTTATCGTACTCGCTGCTCTAAAGCACATAGAGGTATTTTACATTGTGATACGCTGCACACAGTGAACTTCTTCAAGGACTGTACAAATGAAACAACATCAATCGCTATATACATGTATACAATCTGTCTCTTATACACATCTAGATGTGTATAAGAGACAGGGACAAAACCAGCCTATGCCCTTGTATTGTCACATAATGAGTGGAAATTTCATTTGACTTTAATAATAATAATAATTGTCGACTTATTTAGTGCATATTGTAGGGACCTCTATGCGATTACTACCCCCGGATCACTGGATCAAGCACATATGGAACACACACTCAAGCCCCATGGGGAAATTCCATAATGTTGCAGCTGTATTCAGCGCAGGCAGTGTTTGAACCTACCAGGTACCCACTTGTACTCTGGGTGGAGAGAGACAACCATAGATAAAGTGCCTTGCCCAAGGACACAAGTGACTTGCACAGCGAGAGTTTCGAACCCCCGACATGTATTAGTTATTATGCAATAGGTATATGTTTCAGTTAACTTCAATTTCTTCTTGGTCATAAGTCTGTTAAAAAGAAATTTGTAATAAAGTAGGCCTAAAAGTATGTTTTTTTTTCTTTTAATAGTTGTTATATCTGCCACATTTTCTGTGCATAATTGTCCAATATTCACTCACTTTGGACACTTAATTAAGTTTAGATTTTGCTTATGCTAATTTGTGTGAGGTCGACATGAATATTAATATCCTTAGCAATCCAGTCTACTGGATAAAAGTCAGAAGTCTGGTATATAGCACCCTCTAGAGAGAATACAAATTCAATGGGCTAGCCCGCCGCCGGTCGCGGGTCGGCGGTGTGGCCATGGCATGTGCATGCATGATGCAGGAGGTCAAGTAGGACCAACCAAGAGTTGCTTGAGTTTGGTGGAAATTATGAGTGGCCAAGACAACGCAGAGGGTTTATTACCTAAAGAAATAGATGAAGACGTTTTAAAGAAGGCAGAAGACCTTAAAAACAAAGCTAACGATTACTTCAAAGGTTATTTGCACTTATTTGCTTGTCATGGCTACTGCACAAATATGTTATTTTAACAAGGTTTCCAAATTCAGTCCATCATGCTAGGGCTGCTAGGCTAGTGCGCCTAGGTCAGGCCCAACCCTGCCTAGGCTGCTACACTAGCTAGGCCTAGGCCCTAGGTTAAGCTTTAAAAAGACAGGAGCCTACCCTACGTAAGCCTAGCGCCTACCTATCTTGGGTTTAGGGCTAGTAGGGTAGTTTGGTAATTGCCATGCAAAAAAAAGGAAAGGTATGTGGCCTAGCTAGGCCAAGCCTAAGCTAGGCCTATCCTACTAGTCCTGGGCCATAGGCCCTACTTGAGCATAGCCTACTACTAGGCCCTAGCCTAGGGCTTAGACCTATATCATGAAATAATGGGGTACCTAGCCGAGTCTGAACTATAGTAATAGACAGTAAAATGACAGGCAGCACTTTATACTAATACTATTATAGACTAACAAATATTTATTAGCACAAGCTTTAGTTCACACAGTGAACTTCTTCAAGGACTGTACAAATGAAACAACATCAATCGCTATATACATGTATACAATGGTGTGAGGACACTCCATGCAAGATAATAATTAACAATACTGTAATAAGCATTAAGCAAAAATAGAGGTAAGCAGGCCAATATTCAAATAACAGAGTGATACAGAGGTGGTGGATAAATAATCAATACAATAAAGACCAATAAGCTACTGTATTATATGAAGTATACCATGTATTAGACTACATAGTGGGCTAGATAACCTAAGTTAATACAATCCAGTTTAGTGATGATCAGCTATTTCTCTGTCTAAACTATTTTATTAAAATTACCCTTTCTAATAACTTTGACTTTCAGGTTATGTAAGCTTTGGCCCGGTAAATTGAAATGTTGTGCTACTGGTTTCTGTATGAGCTTGTTTAGTATCAAATTTGTGTCCATTGATTACATGTAATGGCATAAATCAAGGTACTGGATGTGCAAGTGTATTTGATGATCTGATATTTTGATGGTCTGGTTGTTGGGTCCGTTTATAACATCACTAGAATCAATGTGGATGCATAGTTGGCATGTTTTGGCGTTGCAAGGAAATGTACCATGTGAAGTGTATCAAGTTTGCTTTTAGTTAGCTGTTTTTAAGATTGGGAGGTTGTCTGTGTGCAATGAGTGGTTTGTCAGTAAATATGTCCTTAAGATCAGAATCTTGGAGTAGCAGTTGTAGGGTTATTATTAGGCGTCGTAGGGGCTTGAGTGCTGGGTGGTAGGTAGCGACAAGCGTAGTGCGGTCGGTAGAGGTTTTGTCTTTCAATAGGTCTCTGCGTGGAATGCGTTTCGCTCTGTTCATTTGTTCGTCAATAATGCAATGATTATATTTAAGGTTGATGAATGTTTGCTTCAGGTCTGTGAGGTGTTTGTCTCTGTCAGCAGTGTTTGAGCGTATCCAGTAATAGCGTAGTGATTGGCTGTAAACTATGGATTTGGTGACATGTTTAGGGTGAGAGCTATAATTGTCCTACTGGTAACCAAATGGAAACTTATACTCTACTTTGACAATGTACATGAAACTCAAAGAAACAAAATAAATTAAAAACATGCTTGGTTTATATAATAGTTTAGGCGATTTGAATCAGGTTAATACACTCCATGATACAGACTAATGTTACAGTGGCCCTATTTAGTGTTTTATAGTTGTAATTCCCAAAATTTACAGCATTCATTTTGAAAAGAAGCCCCTCCCTTTTTACTTTGCAAAAAGGAGCCTTGAAAAGAAGCCCATTCAAAGTTCGCAAAAAAAGAAAACCAGGGCTTCAATTCGAAGTTTTATTGTATGATACTATCATACTTATGGTGACTTTGTGTTCTGTACTGCTAGGCCTAGGAAAGGAGCTATAATAATTATATTGAATTTTCCCCATGAATCCCAATAGGATTAGGCCTAGGAATTCATTTTTCTTTACAGCTTACTATCTTTGTTTTGGAGTACAACAGAATAAATAACAAGAGTAGGTACAGGTAATTGCTTGATAATCTATAAAAATTACCTTTTATCGCTATAATTATTTTGATTTCAGCTCAGAATTTCGATCCTGCAATTGAACACTATAGCCAAGCAATAGAATTGAATCCATGCTGTGCAGCGTATTATGGAAATAGAAGTATAGCTTACCTGAAGACAGAATGTTTTGGTGCTGCTGTATGCGATGCCGACAAGGCGCTGGAATTAGACAGAACATACATAAAGGTATCAGAATTGGAATTGATAATTTCCAAAAGATAAATAAGATAAGATATACTGTACTTTATTATTGTAATACACAACCAGTTGGAGTTTAACCTTTAATTTATGTTGGTCTGTTTTAACTTTTTATAAGAATGATATATTTGCTATATTATAGAATGCATTGTAATTTTTTCAGTTGTGTTTTAGATAAAGTTTTCCTATGAATTGCAATTGCTCATCGTTATTATTTTATTTATTATTTTTGTACTATACTAGTTATTCATAAATATTTCCTTCTTTTTCAGGGTTACTACCGAAGAGCTACTGCAAATATGGCATTAGGAAAGTTCAAAATAGCTCTCAAAGATTATGAAACGGTAGGTCTTCATGTAATTGACTGTGTCTTTGATTGCCTCATTAGTTGTGATGCCAGTCCAATTGAAAGTTGGTAATAACTTGTACATGACTAATTCATTATTTTTGTTAAATTTTGATAACATATCTTGCAAATTCGTACCAGATCGGCTTTGAATGTTAATTTCTATCAACCTATCTTTAACAAGCGTATTGGTAACAAATCTTTTCTGTGCGAGGCGCCACTCATCTGGAATAACCTTCCAGTACACATTTGATCTTCACCATCTGTGGCTATCTTTAGGTCTGACTTAAAGACTAACTTCATTAACTAATTATCACATTTTTATTTATATTTTATTTATTGTTGCATTATTTATGATTCTAAACTTTGCCACTGCTTCTTTTGATTTGTTTACTTGTTCTGTGCTTGGGTTAGGCAATGATCACAGGTGCTTGTGGGTTGTGAGGTGCCTAAATATGTGGGGTGCAGAGCTTTGTATCTGCAAAGAAAGGCGATTTACAAATGTTCTGATTGGATTGGATTTAACCTTAAATTTGATAGATGATTCTGTATTTTTTTGTGCTTTTGTATAAGGACAAATAAACATTTTTTTTTTTTTAAAGTGCCCTGCACCCACCCTAAAGACACACACACACCCCCACACACACACACACACACTCATATATAAAGTATACAATACTGCCACATTCTTGGGCTGCTTACTCAGTTTAACAATTAGCAACAGTTGGCCTACGCTGGTTTTGGGATGGCAAGCCTCATATATGAGTCTTGGCCCCATAAATGCTCAGTGTTGTTTTGGTTTTAATTTAACATAATCTTCTGGTTACTGAGATGCCATTAAACATTAGATGAGGGAGGAGAGTCAAGGATTGTGGTCTTTATTAGCCTTTTTTTTTTAAAATGGAATTTGATTTTCAAATTTTTCTTCCCCTCAGGTGATGAAAGTACGGTCTAGTGACAAGGATGCCAAAGCCAAGTATCAAGAGTGTAAGAAGATAGTGCAGATGAAAGCATTTGAAAAGGCTATCTCTGTGGACTCTGTAAAGAATTCTATAGTTGACTCATTAGACTTAGCTAATATGAGTAAGTAATTTGGAGTAGTTTGTCCTTTTATATCACTTTTACATTGTCATCATTAATATTAAACAGTAATTACTTCAATGTAATGAAAACATAAAATATAAAGACAAAATTGAAATGAACTAAAAAGACAAATAATTTTGTTGATTAGTGGATTGTTGCAAATTATTCTGTTGAGATGAGAATTAGGTCTGTGTTCTTCTTCATTGATTGAGAAAAGTCAATTATTATCTAATTTAGTTATAGAGGATGAATATGAAGGGCCTACAATAAAAGATGGACAAATCACATTAGAATTTATGAAGGCAACAATCGAACACCTAAAGGAACAAAAGCGTTTACATAGGAAGTATGCATACATGGTATGTAAAACAAATATTTTGTGCCTATTTTTTAAGGGTAGTATCATTTGTTGATGTCATAGCCATGCATGCTATGCATTATCACTTCCTGTCTACGTATGATGTAGATGTGTATGAAGCTATGGGCAACATCACACCCTATCGTTGGACAAAGAGAACAAGATGTTATAATTTTTAACAAATTAAAATTTAGAAATACATGAAAAACATTAACTAATTGTTAGAAAATCTCAAATGATTATCATGATATAATATATATTTATTTCATTATATTTGTTAAGATTTTAGTAAATGTATATAGCATGTTAAAGAAGATGCCATCATTATGTGAAATAACTATACCAGAAGACACCAAGTTTACAGTGTGTGGAGACATACATGGCCAGTTTTACGACCTCCTCAACATATTTGAAATCAATGGCCTCCCATCAGAACAAAACCCTTACGTATCCTTTTCTAAACATAGTTTATTATTAATTTCTTTAGTTCATATTTATGGAAGGTGACCCTTCAAGCTAAGCTTAGAAGGCCAGTGAATGTTCATGGACCCTCCCTCTGTAAATATATTAAATAATGTGATGCTCTATGAACTATGTCTCATTATATAGTATAATGGCAGGATTAGAAAGAAGTCAAGAACAACAAGCTAAATCATCAGTTGAGTTTAATATACATTTCCGGAGAATGTGTAGGGAAAAAAAACTGATGGAACAAGTTTGACTTGTTTTCACAAATATTGTTAGACATGTTTAAATAAAGAAAATGTTTTGTTGATAATAATGATTTAGTACATTTTATTCATTAGCAGACAGGACTGAGTGACAAGGGCATAGCTTAAAAGGCAGGATGTGGGAAAGCTTAACAGTGTTGTAGCTGTCGAAAACTGGGGGTGGTTGGTAGACATTTTAAGAGTTGGGGTGATAACATTGGTAAACTCTATATATTATAGTGGATTTTAAGGGGGTTAACTCAGGTGCGACTCAGTTTCACAACACTGAGATAAATGAGTTCAACAAACAAGGCATTTTATGTACATTTGTCTCTATTGGAGTATAAATGGATATCTTATAGGATGTTGTGGTCTGTTGGTATGCGAAATAAACTGAATTTGCAGCATTATTTGGAATACTCGCCAAGTAGTGGAGAAGGTTACACGTTGTTTATGTTTCTTAATATCGACCCGCTGGCCTGGTGTGATAACGTAAGCGCTTTGAAACTATGTTCAGATCATAAAAATCGCCATATAAACAAGTCTGAATGCAGAGGAACTGTTTCCAAGTAACAAATAGTGTCATTTGCAAATTGATGAATGAATTACAAACAGGCATTCTTTAAAGCAAGGTTTTTAATGTTTCATTTCCTTGATTCAATGTAAACAAGTTATTTAACGGTGACTTTGTTGATCGAGGATCCTTTTCAGTGGAAGTTATACTGACATTATTTGGCTTCAAACTTCTTTATCCTAACCACTTTTTCATGGCCAGAGGTATGTAATATTGGGAAGTTTTATATTTTTCAGTATCATTTATAATAATTATAATGGTATGAATAATCCCTATAAAGCTGACACCTATGGGACAAATTAAATATATTTCCTGTCACTTCAGGTCCTAAAACATTCTGCCTTAATAAGAGAGTACTGAAGGATGAGTTAAATTATAATAACAATTATTAATTGTTGTTACTGTATTAATAAACTCTAAATTTCTATTTTCAGTAATAGCCTCATGCATTTTGCTTCTTTTTTTCTGGTTTAGCTTTTATCTTCCCTTCCTGTTGTGAATGAAGGTTTTAGCAATGCATGACATGACAGGTAAAATGGTTGGGAGTGGAATAAGGGGTCCCTTATAAATTTACTAATTGAATGAATATGTAAAGTATAAGCCTGAAGTGCAATTCTTAACTCCATTACTGCAGTAATCTGCTTAAGTTACTTTAACTTATTTATGTCTCTTATTTGTCTTGTGTATTGACAGGCAACCATGAAAGTGAAACCATGAACCAGATGTATGGATTCTTTGGTGAAGTCAAATCTAAATATAACCCACAGATGGCCCAGCTATTTACAGAGGTTTATAACTGGTTACCGCTATGTCATTGTATCAACAAGAAAATATTGGTATGGTAATCATTTCATTAATTAATAGATTTATTAATTTATTAAAAATTACATTAGCAAAACAAACAATAATTCAAGGTTTACAATAAAACAAAAGTTTTTGGCCGGCAGAGACGCAATCTAAATACAAAGAAACAAAGAAATGTAAAATTTATGTTATAAATAATAACTTTAAACATGTTATATAATATTTTCAAAAATTGCACCTAATGGTCAAAACTTCAATTGGGCAACATTTAGTACAGCGACAAAAAGTATTGCTTGAGACTTATGATGAAGTTGTGAATATAATGATTTGATATTTTGCCTAGAACTGTTTCTAATGCTGTGAGGCAAAGTGATGGTCCATGAGGTACAATGCATCGAACATAAAGATTTTTTATAATTTTAATAATTAAATCATCATTACTTGTCCATTTAAATGGATCAGAAAAATTCCAGGTATTAAAATGTTTATATTCAATGTACTTGCTTGATAATATATTTGCCTATTAATTTTGTTTTTCAGGTAATGCATGGTGGTTTATTTAGTAATGATGATGTAACATTAGAAGACATCAAAAAGGTTGATAGAAACCGACAGCCACCAGACTCAGGTAAAGTGCACTTTACGGCCGGAATTGACTTCGAAAGTTGAACATGCGTTCTATAGATGCAGCACATGTTTAATGAATGCCTTTTATTTTCTTTTGAAGAATGCCTTCTAATTCATGGTAGTACTTTTCCAGATAGGATTCCATTTCAAGGGGACCTCGACAGTTTGACCTCTTGCTATTCTCTTCTCTTTGATTTTACATAGTACAATGATATTTTCAATGACTGCTTCCAAAATCAAGGTATTTGGTTCATTGTTTTATTAGGGATAATGTGTGAATTACTGTGGTCAGACCCACAACCCCAGAATGGTAGATCGCTGAGTAAGCGTGGTGTAGGGGTTCAATTTGGACCAGATGTCACCAATAAATTCTTGCAGAAGAACGATTTGAAGTATATAATCAGAAGCCACGAAGTGAAACCAGAGGGTTATGAAGAGGCTCATGACAAAAAATGTATCACTGTTTTCTCAGCGCCTAACTATTGGTAAGTTATTATATTGCTTATTTAGGTAACATGCTCATACCTTTCACAAATGTTCTAAAGCATTATCAAAAAAGGTTTCTGCATCCTAATCTTGCAGATGTGTAGGACTTATTAGACTTAACTCATTTTAACCTAAGTTTTACTACAGTTTAGCCCAGAAGGTGGATGTTTTTTATAACACAGCACTTAAAGCACAAGCTTAAATATTTGGTACTTTTTATATTAAATTATGCCCAGATTTACTGTATGTGTAAATAATTGCTGTTTTTCAATCTTTCAAATTATTTCAGTGATCAAATGGGAAACAAGGGAGCATTCATTACAATGTCTTCAGATCTTACACCTAAGTTCACTTCATACGAAGCAGTAGTAAGTAATTTGTATTGCTATTATCTATTGTTACTTTTGTTTTTATTAATATTTTTATAATATTCAAAGGAAATATTAATGTTGTTAATTATTAGTGTTACTGCCAACCAAGGGTTTAGCCAGAAAAATTAAATAAGCCGTCCAAAATGGAAGACAAAGGACTTGTCATGTAGTGACAGCTGAGGGGAGTGGCCATGAGTAGGGGTGGGTTTGGGAGGGGTGTGTCCCTCCCTACTTAAAAAAAAAATAGGAATAGTGTTGAATTAGCTATCACAAAGATATTTCAGTTATAGACCGTGACCGTGATTGGGCACGGTTGTTTACTCACATAATTTTTTTCGGCTGTGCAGATGCATCTTCATCTCTCGCTCTAGTCTAGTGTTAATTCTACTCTAGTTCCTCCGAATTGAGAGATGTAGGCCTATAGGCCTAGGCCTACTGTATTTTATTGACTAATAATATTTAACTTGTGATGTTAACAACAAATCTGCTTTACAGTATTTCATAAATTAATTACAACCAGGGAGTTACAAACACCAACGATATGCCAGGGAACCGAATCTCAAGTATTGTATTTGCAGAGCCATGTACATGCGTTGTGGGTGACTTAGAACCGTCCATTTTCCAGTGGGGTATAAATATTTTTAACACAACTTATGCGTGTTAGTGAAATTTTTCCGAGTAGACAATGGTTTACCCTTAACTCTTGGGAAATCCCCACTGAATGTCGGTATGAAAAAATCTAAATTCATTCAATATCAAACGTAAATATGATTTAGTTTTAGTTTAATATAACATTCAATAGATTCAAAGAATATAAAGAAGTTGCTAAAGGTAGACCAGGCCCAACTAGGCTAGGCTGAGGTGAGTAAGCCAAGCCTTCCAAGCAATCACAGTCAAAGTGGCCGTCCTCAATAATTGTTGGCTGTCGGACGACTCGCTGGCTAAACCCTTGCTGCCAACAAGATTGTCCAGTCAATGGCTGTCTATAACTGATCTATATTAAGTGGCTAAATGTATTGTTACATTTATTCTAACTACTGTAATTGTATATGGGTAAAATATGTATGGTATTTTGCTTTATCTTGTATAATTCATTTGTTTTTTTGTTTTTTTTTTAAATATTGATTGTTTTTGTGATTTTTAAAGTTCTTTTTTTATGTTTATTCTTTGATGAATATTGTAATATGCAATCTTTCTTTTTGATTGCAAGAACAATTTGAATTATTTGAATTATATGGTTTCCCATAACAGAATATTCTTGAAGATTCAAATCTTTAAAACTTAAACAATAGTCATGATTCTCTTCTTTTTCAGCCTCATCCGAAGATTCGGCCAATGGCATATGCAAGCTCATTATTTGGTTTTATGTGAAGCATATTGGACAGCTGTTGCAAATTTATAATGGAAATGATTCACAATTGAACTAAGCTGACTTGTTAATGTGCGGTTTCAATTGTAGCTGAGTGTTGCAATACATGCTAATAGGTATACAGCCAATACACACTAAGCGACACCCAGCGACACATCCATATGAACACTCGCAATGGATATGTATCATGAATGAGCAGTTTCATCTGCTTCATCTATTGTAGCTGGGTGTTGCAATGCAGGCCTATGGGCATACACCCCAATATACACTAAGAGACACCCAGAGACACATCCATACGAACACTCACAATGGAAATGTATTGTGATTAAACTGAGTTAGCAGTTTTATGTGCTTTATCAATTGGAGCTGTGTGTTGTAACTCAACCCTATAAGTATACACCCTGAAACATGCCAAGAAACATACCAAGAGACACCCATGCAGGCACATGCAATGGATTATGTCATAATTTAACCTCGTTATAGGGTTTACCTGCCTAACACAACAATGAAGGCATACACCCTGAGACCCATCAAGTGACACATTCAGGGACACCCTTATACAAGCATTGGTTGGAACTGATTCTAATTAGACTTACTCGAGAGCTTTGCCTCCTTTATCCATTGCAGTTGGATGTTGTTAATAGAGATACAGAGTGACAAACCCAGAAAAAAATTTATCAGGAGCTCTAATTCCCATTATCATTGTTTGTCATTATGATTATTGTTGCTATAATTTTATTTTTTTTAACATTATTTATTGGTGTAACTTTATTGCGCAGCGTTGTCTGAGGGTCAAAGGCCCAAGCAGGGGGTGAGTATGAGGGGGTGTTCCCTCCTCCCAAAACAAGATTAAAAAAAAAAAAAATTGGGACTTCTAGATGGCCGGAAATGGCTGGGATGGGAAAACTAGGCCTATTTTTTTTTCCTTTTGGTTTGCCTGTCCAACAAGCTTTGGCCAATAGGGGCCTTGACCAAACCGGTGGGGGGTGGGGGCTTAAGACCCCCTGCCCCCTGCTGGCGCTGCCACTGGCCTTATAATATACCAAACGTATCCATTTAAAAATTATTGCTCTGGGGGCACTGTTTGCTAATTTTGTTCATACAGAATCAGACATGCAAGAAGTAGAACCGACTCCTTTTTTGGGAGTATTCCTGTTGTGCAACTAAATGAAAACCTACATTTATACTCATTGGGTACAGAGGCACAGTTAAATGAGAACCTACTCAGGTGCCCATTTATCTCATTGGGAACAGAGGCACAATTAAATTGGAACTTACTCAGGTGCCCATTTATACTCGTTGGGTACAGACGCACAATTAAATTAGAACTTACTCAGGTGCCCATTTATACTCATTGGGTACAGAGGCACAATTAAATGAGAACTTACTTAGGTGCCCATTTATACTCGTTGTGTACAGAGGCACAATTAAATTAGAAGTTGCTCAGGTACCCATTTATACACATTGGGTACAGAGGCGCAATTAAATTAGAACTTACTCAGGTGCCCATTTATACTCTTTGGGTACAGAGGCGCAATTAAATGAGACATTACTTTGGTGCCCATTTATACTCTCTTGAGTACAGAGGCACAACTAAATTAGAACTTAGGTGCCCATTTATATTCATTGAGCACAGAGGCACAACTAAATGAGAACCTGCGCAGGTGACCATTGATACTCATTTGGTACAAAGGCACAACTAAATGAGAACCTGCGCAGGTGACCATTGATACTCATTTGGTACAAAGGCACAACTAAATGAGAACCTGCGCAGGTGCCCTGGGCCATTTACACTCTTCAGTACAAAAGCAAACTTTGACAAAGTGTCTATTCCAAAGACAAAATCGTAGTAGCCAGTATTTGTCTCAAATTTATGACCATTTGTTCGGAAACACAGACTTACTGCAGCCCCAAACACTCATTTTTGGTTATTAAGTTCAAACAAAATCAGTTTTTTGGGTGGATCTTAATAAATGCGGTGTAAAACTATCCTCAAATAGTATGAGTCGCCTTGAAGTGAGATTGGCTTGGTTGTATTGAAGTGTACATTATAATACAATGCCTCAACTCATGTTTTTGATTTAATCCAGTTGTCTGCTTGACTCAACTCAATTTCGTCTTAAAGCAATCATGGTCTTGAGTCATGTAAACTAACAGAGGTATATTTTTTCAAATGATTCATACACATGCTTTAAATAAGGAGACTGTCACCCAATTCGTTCCAAGGAACATTAAATTTAATTGATTGATTGAAATTATTCAATGCTTAACATGCACAAACAATATAAGAAATGATTATAGAACAAGAAAATTAAAAATTAATTATCAGGAATGTCCATTAGGCTGGGTGCAGCCCATTTCCAATGGAGCCCTACATTTATTAGTCACATGATGACAAACCACAATTATAGAAGTTTAAATGAATATAGAATGTTTGTTAAAACAATTGAAGAGTTGACTTTTAATGCTATTATTGTAGACCCATTATATAAGATCATCAATAAAAAAATTTTCTCTGAAAACAAGTTCAAATTCATTAATTGAAGTCGTTACTGTTATATCATAGTACAGTACTGTGTATTTTAGCCAAACACTTAGTGATGATGCGCATAGAATTGAGCATATTTCCATTTTGATGGTGAAGCATGCATTGGTAGAATAGTGGCCCAGAATTAATTATGACATCAACTCGTGGAAATGTTGAAATTGTATTTTGTAAGAAAAGCTTATCCACATCAGGATTTGAACCCAAGATATACTGACTACCGTTCGGTTGCTCCAATTCAAGTTCAACTACCAACTGAGCTAAGCACCTTAGTTAGTGTAATCCCTTAGAAATTTCTGAATAGGACATGTTATACAGGCACTGACAGTAAACAAGACTTTGAGAAGTAGACGTCCTCAAAGACTAAGGCCAATTTGATCTTTAAATCCATCTCAAATTCTCTGTATTTTTCTCTGATCAATCGGTTGCTTAATTCTGTGAAAATTGTATTAAATAACTAACAGTTATTTATTTTCAGTGACAATTCTATATCCAAACATATTAATATTTACATCAATGTGTCTATATCGTCACAAGTTACGTCATCTGATGTCTGCTGCGGTTGTGGGGATTATAAGACAAAAAAAAATCATTGTTGATTTTGAAAACAAACGAGATACACTGGTAGGATACAAAATCAGTATGCTCCCTGGCAATCAAGTCTGTACCCAAAAAAATAAACTTTTATTTTTTGACCTATTGCGCTACATTCATGCCATCAAAGTGCAGACAATATTCTTACAATGCATGAATTATTTTCGTTTATGAATTTGTGCTTTAATATTCGTACCTTTCATATATTTTATATCCCAGAAATTGTTTTTTCCATGTAAATTCTGAAATAAGCAATTTATTCATGCATTAATTCGCTAATGTATCCATTCATCTGTGTATTTATTCATGCATATTGTAAGCCTAATCAGTTTTTTAAAAAAAATTATGACCTTATCAAATAAAGGTGGCACTGATGATGCTTAGGTTCGTTTAATGCTGACATTCTGTTAATAACCAACATTCCAACATTTCGGTAGACTATCGAAATACATTTAATTGAGAATGTTTTGCCTGGATGATATTTAAACAAAAACATTACAATACCATATAGTACATAATTATTTATTTTACTATAAATATCTATCGGTATATCTTTCAATCACTCTAATTGTAAGTTTAGTGTCTAAGTTATGGATTTAAACTTATTTAGTAAATATGATTAGGTCCTACACAGTTCCTCTAGTTGGCATAATTTTATTATTTAATCCTAATTGTCAACTGGAAAATCCCCAAATAATAATTTATTATATAATCAATTTAAGTTGAGCATCCTTTTATGTGCCCTCTGGACGATTCCATTTTCCGTCTTGTTTTGCCGGTCATACCAGGTCATAGTTCAGTGATTCTAAAATGACCCCGTTTGGAAAGATAGCACAAAAACATAGCAGATTAATGACAAAAAAACATACATTTTCATCATGGGTAACTCCATAAATCCCCATCTTGAAAGAGCTGAAAAGACCGGTGTTTGTCAGCTTAATGACATGGGAATTTCACAGGTGAGGGAAATCTCTGACGCATACAATCTGTTACTGTATTTCTTTATTGGGCAGCATACGTCTAGCCTAGCCCTGCTTGCTAGGTAGGTAGACGTAAGCTTCTCAATCACGAATGAGGCTAGGGTTAGTCTCCATCCAATACTTGCCTAACTAGGGCCTGGGCCTAGAGAGGCCATCCTTGATTTTTTAGACTGTTGGCCTAGGCTAGTTGACACCAAGTCTCATACTGTACCTAATTAAGCCTAAAATTTAAACCTAGGGCCTAGTAATTAGTACTTACCTAAATAACCATATTTTGTCAACAAACATCATGATCTAGGCTAGGCCTAGGTAATTAAAAGAGTTTAGCCTACTAGCCTAGGCCATAGACTATAGTAATGTAGTAGGCCTATTTAATATAATTATATAAAAAAGGATTTTTTTTTGCTAGGCATAGGTCTGACCTTATAGGGCCTACCATATTTAGAGAGAGGTCTAGACCTCTACTACTAGGCTCATGCCTGTAGGCATAGGGCCTTGCTTGATATACATGCTTAATGATTATCTATATTTAATACTTGCAGTACACCGCATAGATAGGCCTAGTTCTGAAAAAGTCTCAACGTTTCGATTGAGTTGCTTTGGTCGCCTTCAGGGGAATCTATGTTGTGTACCGCAAGCATTAAATATATTATGACTTCGCCGTGCAAATCTGTAAACAATTATCTAGATATTATTATGATTTATATTATTAGGTATTTTTGTTTTTTGTGGTCTCGGTTTGACAGTGAAAATGTGTAGAAGTAAAAGAGATGCAAAAATTTGTACATAATAATTCAAAATTTTATTTTAATCTGTATTCCAAAAAAAACCCATATTATTATCTTGAGTGCCATGAATCAAACTGCATAATCAAACTGTATAATTTTCATTGATTGAAAGATACAATTATTAGCTTAAATATAAAGGTTTCATTTCACTAAAGTTTGCTTTGTTTACTCTCTTTTCCTTATGCTCATGCTTCAACCTACTCAATATCTCTCTCTACAATAAATTCCCATAGCTCAACCACTAATTTTTCACTTTTCTACTTAAAATGCTTTCATTTCCAAGTGACCAGACACGATTAACTAGTTACGATCTAAGATTAAGAATTTGAAACTTAGTTATATTGAGGCTGATGTGCATTCTCAGTCATCTTGATGTTCTTTAGCTGAACAGCCTTCAATTTTGGTCTCCCAATTCAATTCAATTCAATACTTTTATTCAACAAAACCATCAGGTAAAAAACAATTACATTTCGTGGCAATGGCCAAATTGCGTGTAATTTTACAAGCACAAGCAAAAAGACAAAAGTTAGAAAAAAAAAAAAAAGAAAACACTACGATAGTCATCACCGGGGTTTATGCGTTGAGCAAACGGATAAAATAAGGTAAGGGACTTTTGGCGTATCTAACAGTTTTAATTGGTAACTGAGATATATTATTACAATTCTTCAGCGCTCACTCAATAAGTCTCATCTCGGATGGTCCCACCATCACCTCTCCCTTTTTTCTTTACTTACGGAGCTGCTCTACATTCTGAATCGACTTAAATTTATCTCCGCTCCCAAATTGAACTTTATTTAGTTAGATTTTGGAGTTCTGTTTAGGTTTATGATTTAGTAGAGATAAATCATGTTTCCCACAAGCCATTAAGATTAATTAATTAATAAAATTTGATTATAATTGTATTTTTAACATTTTTCTCGGTTTATTTGTATCATTACAAAAGAATTGCTGTGTTCGTGTGATAACACAAAATGTGTTGAGTCTTGTTTCCTTCCTGGTTATTAAAAATATTAAAGTTGGCAGTCCAACACGATCATGTGATGGTCACACGAGTCAGAAGGCACTTGTTGGCTAGTACTGGTACTTACAGATTACTCTGAGTGGCCTGTCTAATTGCAAATTCTATGATATCTTTTTGGTCGTAAAATTTGGAGAAACCTAAAACATTCATAGGTTAAAAGTATTCCACACTGTATGTGAGTGGTACTGGATAAAGTCAATTTGATTTCTTGCTTCGAACAAGCTATCCATTCGTAGAAAAAGTCTTATGAAGATAAGCCTATCCAAGTGAACATAAAAGGGTCGGGACCAGGACATACCTCCGACTTTAAATGGACGAAGATAGAAAAATGTTAAAAGTAGACACAATGTACACATAGAGAGTAGCCTTAAAACATGTACATTTATAAATAAACTTATCATAATGAATGTATGTAATTAATCTTTTAATTTTGAAAAAGAATAACACAAAGTTTAGATGAATAAAGAAATATGTCATCACCTTCAAATGAGACAGTTATCGAAAAAGATTTTTTTTTTTTTCACTTTTGCAAGCTCTTTTACCATAGATTATCAGCCACTAAATATAACAATATTATTATGTCTTAATAAGTGAGGACAAGTGTTTTCTTTTTATAATTAAAAATATTATGAATTTAATATAGATTGTGTAAGCAAACCGTATTTATTCGAATAAACACCTTGGAGCGTTTGTTGTTGAGAAGAGTGTTTGGGGGGTGTTCATTCGTGGGAGGAGTTTATTTATAAATGTGTTATGATCCCAAGCAGGTTAGAAAAAATGTAATTCTAGTAGAGTAGAACATTAATTTTATTCCAAATGAGGCTCTAGAGGGGGCATTTATTCGATAAATACAGTATTACATTTTTGTTTTTACAGTTGTTTATTGTTATTTTTATGCTATTTTCCATATTTTTAATATAAATTATACATTTTTGGGAGAAGGGAAAGAATGTGAATAAAGTGATTGTGAAAACATATTGAACATATTTTGATTTACCATTTTGCTTCTATTTTTAAGTATGACTTTGTTATTCCTGAATATGTCAGGTGCAACTGATACAAGTGCAAGTTCAAATATCATTATGAAATATAATTTATGTGTGCAGAAACCTCTGTGTGATAGTTTGAAAAAATGTATTGTACCTATTGGAATTTGTTCCAAGGCCAATGATTAATTATCTTAAGTATTTTGTATGAGACTTGTAACATTTTGATGTTGTGTTTGTCAAAACTTTGTAAGTGGTACTTTTAAAAATGCTCGAGGGGGCTGGAACAGGTATCAGTTGGTACTGTAGATGCAGCCAATTGTTCAATTATTGTGGTATGTAAAATTAGGTAAAAGTACAGAGCGAGTGGCACTGGCAATCTTCAGTCAATTTCAATAGGCCATGTAAAAAAATAGTTGTCCAGCTATCCCACCAGACTCGTCAGTAAGATTCAGTAATTAGAGTAACTACCAAAAATTAAGTTAAAGATGAAACAAACGTTGATGGTGCTGTTCAACTGATCAATACAAGGCAATGTTTCCCAGCCATAATTGTATGTAATAAACAAGGACCTCTTTTCCTTCATTTTGTTCTGTATTTTATCTAATCAATCTACACTAGTATTTTTGAGTCAAATTTTCATTTTTTTAATTTCATCAAAATTAAAAATATTTATTGGTTGGACTGAAATCAGTGGTGAAGAGGGGATTATAAACAATTTTTTTAACATGTGGACTCAACGGTTACAGTAGTAGTTGCCTTTAATTCGACCACATCCACACTGGATACTGTATCAATACTTATAATCCATATTTCTGTGAAAAAGTCTAATTCCAAACAAATATTAATCCTTGAATAGCTTAGTGGTTAAGATGCTTGCCTTTTAATTCCAGAGTCCTGGGTTCAAATCCTGTGGTAACAAGACTTTTTCTCATGACTAAAAAACAACTCCACTCCCTAAACCTCATAAAGAGACTTCGCTATTGTTAAAAGCTTCACATTATTTCATTTATTTAAGGAGGGCCCCTGAATATCAGCCGACCTACAGTACTGTTGGATACGCTGGAAGGGTCGCCTTTTATATTACGGTTTAAAAAAAAATATAATACTGTAATAATCTTGACACACAGCTCTATATCAGCACTCTGACTCATTAAAGGTTTTTAAGTGGTAGTTTTCACGATGATAAAGTTTCCGTATATATATATACAGTAATCCCAAGTCTAGATAATAAGTACATACTTAAGATTTTTAGCTTTGTATGATCTTATAAAAATCAGAACTCATTATTCATCTACCAGCTGTAAACAAAGTGTCCTGTCTTCCCAGACCACCTACCTAAACAGTAAAAGAATTATTAAAAGACCACCTTGTGAATTCCTTGCAGGTTGTGGTACTGACATTGTCAGCACATATGCCACTTTTTCAGAGGTGTTCCATTTTCATCCAGGTGGTATAGAAAATTCCTAGGCCCTGTTGAATAAGCATACCCCTGCCTTCTTGTGTCACAAGTTCAATGATGCCTCCTCAATTCCCATGATTTGGCCAAACAATTAAAAAGTTATGTTTTTCTTTAGAAAAAGAGGGTAATGTGTGTGTGCCTTCCTCCCTTGTTCCTTCTTATTTTTGTTTACAAAGAATATGCTTTCACCCATGGTTATACACATGGATTCTCATTACTTAGGATGATATGTAAATTTCTGCTGGATTTTCTGCTGTTTATCTAAATTATAAAAGTAAATCAGTTTAAAAGAATATAAATGGAGGTGTCTAAGAAAGGATGATGGTAGAAAAAAGAAACATGTTCTTTTTTCCAGTTGGCTATTTCTTAGCCAGGAAAAAGAAACAAAAGCAGCTAAGTAAATCATGCAAACGTTATAATTAGGTTGAATATTTTTATGTCAGTAGAATGTCACATTTCCAAGGTGTTGCTATATTTGTATTATTATTATAAATTAGATTTGGTATGTTTTCATTTCTGTTATTTGTTTTCAACTTGTTCAAGCTGTTGGAAATACTTTTTGATATTGTATGTGCATGGCTCCACAGTTAAAAGAGAATTTCTCTATTATAATAAAAGTAGTTACTAAATATTTCTTGTCCTTTTCATTATCTTTTCTTTGGTATTACTTGCATAGTAATTTTGATTATTGAAATTTATTTATTTATTTATTTTTTTTTTTGAGGCGGCTAATTAGTCTACTTCCTGGCAAATGTATACATTGTACCTTCGAATGCCAAATAAATATATGTATTATTATTGTTAATTTCATTGGCAAAATATAATTTCATATGTTGACTTGAAATTTAAATGTCTGTTGATCCAATTCATCTATTTTAATGAGCTTTTTAAGGGTTAGATTGAATTTATCTTTTCAATTTTCAATTCAATTCAATTCAACAAAACATTTATTTTCTTCCAAAGGCACTTGAAAATACAAAATTGCAAATGCAAAAATTGGAAGAAGGCCAGGATCCGAGAAGTTGTTTGCAAAAACAAACATCTTGTGTTTGGCAGGCCTGAAAAAAAGGAAGAAAAAGCAGCTCGATATATAACAGCACGACGAATTTCAACCACAGAAAAATTTATTATTTTGAGATTATGTGTTTTTTCAGTTTATTAGAAAAATCTCTGGCAGAGACAGCATTGGTAATTGAGAATGGTAGATTGTTCCAAATAGAGGGCCCGTATATCTAACATTGACAGACAGTGTATCTTTAAAATCTTAATTTATCGTTTTTGTGCCAAGTGCTACCATTCATTGTATTATTTTCAATTTTCGTTACTAAGGCTTGAGATTGCCTTGTGAGGCACTTCTGCGTAAAATACTGAATTTTAAAAAATCCTCAGATTGCATTACATCGCTATAGAGGCCAGCTATAAAAAAGAATATGTTGTAATTTTGATTGGTGTAAATTGAAAGTTCAACTTATGTTTTTGTGTTTTAAATTTTGCATGGTTATGTACTGTGCTGTTACACAATTAAGAAGATAGAGTGAGTGTACTATGAGAGACATTGAACTTGAGTTGATAGTAATGAACAAATTCCTGGAATATGCTGGAGTTGAACCAAGGACCTTTTGCCTAGAAGCCTCACAGCTAGGCTTAGCCAACTTTCACAATTTCATAATTAAAGTAAACAATGATATACCTGTAATGCTTTATTTCTCCACATGAACCCTCCCCATTATTATTTCTTGAATCAATCCCTCTAAATCTATCCAGATTTCTGATTTTCCCCTTCAATTTTCCCCAGACTCTTCCCCTGAATCTTCCTCCTGCCCTTTATCATTTTTCTTCAATTCTCCGATTTTTTCTCTGAAGGCAGCTTCTGAATTCTCTTAGATTTGCACCGATTTTAACTGTCAGTTTTAATTTATTTCAGTTTCCACCTCAACTTCAAAAACTGACGAAAAACTTGCGAACTTTGGACCTATCTAAAAATAAGCTTACTGTAGTGCCGTCTTCTATTGGAAGTTTTGAACATTTGAAATATTTAACAATCAATCACAATCGACTTGGTAAGTTGTATATCATTAAGTTATTATCCATTTAACTTATTATTGTATAATTAAATAATTTAAAATTTTTGTTGGGCAAATGTATAGCTGGTTTTAAATTTAGGCAAATTTATTTGCGCGAATCGAAAGCGTAGGTTCGCTTCCTGAGCTCTGATTGGTTGCTTTGCAAAAAGTAGTTGAGGTGAATGCGTATGTGCGTGAACTGACACTTTCGATTCGCATGAATAAATTCACTTAGTGTAAAACCAGCTTAAAGGTAGGGAGTTATCTAGTATCTCAGCGTAATTTGTGCTGAATTTAGTATAGCTCCGGAGGGAGGTACTTAGTAGTAGTCACTTTCTTCCTAAATCCTTCAAAAGAATACACAGAGGTTCCATTTTTTGAGTCCTTGTCTGATAGATCTTATGACCAAACCTTGAGTGAGGGGTCTCGCTCCCCCTGTACTTTCCAAATCAAATAATTTTTTAGATTGTTTTCATTGTTACTTTAATTATATTTTTTTTGTCAATATTTTATCATTGTTGATAGTTTTTGATTATTATTACAAATATTTTAATAATATATTTATTGTCAATACTAAAAGTATTAGTATGTTTAGTCTGCAAAGAGGACCAAGTATTATAATGTATTAAATTTATGAGGTAATGTAGGTTCATATCGCCCTCTATAGATGCAAGCTGGTGAAGAACATTGACATTGACACTACAAGGTCCCTGCATACATCAAACCTGCATATAGTAAAATTTAATAGTTCGGTGCTCAAAGTACACAGTTGATATAGATTATTATGTTGTTTAGTGTACCAAATAATTTTCCCCATTTCTGAGTCATCAATTGTGGTTGATGTAGTGATTATTTTTAATAGGCTCTCTGCCTTTTTGTCAGGTGTTCAAATCTACTGTAAAGTTCAACTCACTGTCTCCTTTCAAAAGTGTTAAGTCAGGCTCTGGAAGAAAAAATATGTTTGATGTGTTGTAGAAAAAAAAATGTTGGATGTGTTGTAGAACCCCAGTTTTTGAATATTCAAAAATCTGATTTTAATGGCAACCTGGTAGAATGTATTTTATGTTGAATGATTTAATTAGTGCTATTAAATCATAAATGACTTGGAATAATATATTAATAATAACCTAATAACACTGCCCGCCAAACACGGAGATCTCCGTGTTTGGTACCGCAACGCTTGACCGCCAAACACGGAGATCTCCATGTTTCAGGTTTTTTAACGGAATCCGATAGATGGGGTAATTAACGACATGTACTAGCAATTTGAACACTATATTCAGTTGGACTGTAAGTCTTTCACTATTTGTTTGTTTACATTAGCCTTGAGCAGTATTGATTTACTTTTCATGAAATTGTGTTTTAAATCTCAGCTTCGTTGTGCAAAATTGCATAAATCTCAAAAGTGAGTCATTTTCATTTTACTGTTACGGGTAACAGATTGTGATTAGAATAAAGTGTTTGGTACCATTGTAAAGCTAAAATGTTTATAGGTATTTTGGTATTCACTGCATGTCAATCTGATCACATACTGTACGCACTCTCAACAAGCTTTCGAAAAGTGTTCAAATTTACTAAAAAGTCTGGCGGTGGCTGATACTATTTTTTCAAACCCCTGGCGGTCAGAGTGTTAATTAAAGTATAATGTTAACTCAATTGAACGTAATTTGTTTTAAGCATTTCAAATTGGAAGAATGAAAAACTCTTTCCAGAACTAAAGGAAACTCAAATAGTATGTGATCATCTGCCAACTTCTTTATCAGTTATATAGGCCTCTCTGTATTAATCCCACCCCTCACCAAAAAAATTTCCCCTTCACAAGTCTTTCCCATCCTACTAGCATCTCATTTTGTTATGTTTTTTGATGACATTTAAAAATATCTTTCTACTGATAATTACCCTTGCTCTTTACATAATTAAAGGTAATTGCTTGCTTCCTTAAATTGTTCTCTTTTTGCTTAGGGTCCTCCCTCTAGCCTAGATATTACTGGTTTTCTTATAATTTTTTGTGTTTATCCATGTCATCGTGGAGTTCTGATCTGATATGTAGAAGGTCACAAAGGTCAAAATCAATTTCATCAATTTTGTTTCTTTCTCCCAGGTCGCTTGAAGCCGATAGGGACAGGCTGCGCCTAAAATTGATAGAATATTTCATTACTCCAAAAGCATTTAATCATCTTAGTGTTTTTTTTTTTTGGTTGCTATTTTTATTTGGTAGGGTGGGAGGGGGGTTGAGGTTAAATAATTTCAAATTGTGAACAAGTTTTTCATGCGTGCATTGTAAAACTTTTCAATTGCACCCTCTATTTGTTAACCATAATCCATGTATCATGTTATTAATTTGTAGCATACAGTAATGCCACTCTACTGTACATGTCTCATTTCATAGCTGCTGATATATCATTACCAACATTATTTTTATCTGCACCTATCAAGAAAGGTAGAAAGATGTTTAGCGGATGACAATGAAAGGTGGAAGGATTTAGAAGAATGAAAGAGGAATCAAGGGAAAGAAGATTCACGAGAGTGAGGAATGTAACAATAGAGAAAGAAGAATAGGGATAGAAAAATGTACCCAGTATCAGTGGGAATTGGGAATAAGTTTAGCAGGATGAGAATTTTTAAGGGGAAGTGAAACAATGGGAAAGAAAAAGATGTCAATATTATATAGAAGAGAATCAATGGTAAGAAATAAGATGGTATTAGGATGCCCATCAATGGAAAAAGAGAGAGAGTACAGTACATATCAGTGGAGTTATCACTGGGAATGGAATGGATATTCAGTATCATCAGTTGGATCAGAGATGGATGTCAATTAGAATGGAGGGTATCAATGGAAAAAAAATGGATTTCCAATTAATTAATATGTGTTAATTGAAAATGAATTGTAATTATGTGAAATATGCTGTCAATATGTTGAAACTGGAATGAAATGAACAAAATATCAGGCTTAAGGAGAGGATAGGGAACTTTGGAACAAGCCCAAAGGCATAACAGGTTGTACACAGTGTTACTCTAAATTTGTTTTTACTTTCTGAACGGAACATTTTCATCTGTTTTAACTTTGAGAATGGAATCAGTGTTAAATCCCATCAAATTATCATTCTTTAATCTTACCGGCAGCCTATATTATCACTAAACCATATCCCTCAAGACATCTCCTTTATAATGTACTGCTTTTTTCCCTGTTATTCAATAACAACAGAAATTCTAGCTAATGTGCATTTTCAAAATATGAATTTTATATTTTCCTTTCAATCTACTAACACATTAACAAATTTTACAATTATACCGATACTATCGGTATAATTGTAAAATTTGTTAATGTGTTAGTAGATTGAAAGGAAAATATAAAATTCATATTTTGAAAATGCACATTAGCTAGAATTTCTGTTGTTATTGAATAACAGGGAAAAAAGCAGTACATTATAAAGGAGATGTCTTGAGGGATATGGTTTAGTGATAATATAGGCTGCCGGTAAGATTAAAGAATGATAATTTGATGGGATTTAACACTGATTCCATTCTCAAAGTTAAAACAGATGAAAATGTTCCGTTCAGAAAGTAAAAACAAATTTAGAGTAACACTGTGTACAACCTGTTATGCCTTTGGGCTTGTTCCAAAGTTCCCTATCCTCTCCTTAAGCCTGATATTTTGTTCATTTCATTCCAGTTTCAACATATTGACAGCATATTTCACATAATTACAATTTTTGATAAGAAAATAGAGCCCTGTAGTGGTTACCAGAGATGCCTAAACAAGGGTAAAATGTTCCTGACAGAGGATCAGAAGTCCCTGACAAGAGGTCAAAAATCCCCTACAGGACACCTCTTGGCCCAACCTACCATCAAGATTCCTGAGAGGAGAGACAAACCTCCATTCCCATTTGGTTGGAGCAGATTTTAAGAATAGGTACCACTAGATGCCCAGAAATGATGTGGTCTCATTCTGTAAACATGCTTTTTCTAAGCAGTGTTTCATAACAAAATGGCCCTGATGGAAGGCTAAAAGTTCACTGACAAGGGGTCCTGTGCTTCCCTGGGTCCCTGCTGGTACCAGTACTGAAGTTATGTCCAACTTCTATTTGTTTCAAACTATTTGTTTGAAAGATGATATGAAGCAAGAATACAAAATCAGACAAGTCTAATCAAACATATGTTGAAGTTGACAGACAAAAATCTGATGATGTAGACTCAGATGTTTCCAAAGAAGACATACAATACATTCCCAAAGGGGTCTATGGGTTATTTCTAAAGAGATCATGTTTCCTAAGGGGTCCACAATGGGTTGTTTAAATGTGGGGTGAGTGTGGTCCATATGGTAAAATTGTAAAGGAAGTTAAACTTCAAGTTTCATAAATGTCATAAAAATGATACAATGACATCAATGTGCGTATCAGCTGGTATTGGCACTGGAAAACCATCAGGAATACATGTCATAGCCATTGGCATGATGCCCGCATTCAAGGATTTAATTGACTGCTGAGGTGGAAATGAAGCTAATATATCAAGTGTTGTCTTCTTAAAGTAGTGTCCTTCTGTTTATGTAATACATTTCAACTTGTCAAGTTAAACAGTAACCAATGTCATTAAATTTGACATCAGTCTAATTGTTCCTTTCAATGTCACTAATGTAGGCTAATGACATTTTCATATTTTATATGCTTTATATAATATCGAATGCATGATTTCTTTTACTCAAATTTCCTTGAAGTATATCACACCTTTTTACCTGCAAACTCAATTAGACAATAAATACTGTAAATAGATCATGCCACAAAGTCATCCAGCATTAATGCTGAAAATTATTGGTAAAACTTCACAAAAATGTTATTTAAAAATATTACCTGGATTAGATTTTTAATTTTTAAACCATGTAGAATTGTTAAATTAAAGTCTAAAAATTTGTCCCTGGTACACCTCTAGCTTGAGGAGGCTAATGCTAACGGTAAAGGATTTTTATGATCTTTCAGTGAAATTTCATTGTTTCTTTGGTAGTGGTAGGCATCTTATACAGAAACATGTTCCGTTTTGTCTACCAGACTCTACCCTTGGACACTACATCAGGTGCTAGGCAACTAGCGGATTTTAGCTGTAATATTTTCATTGGTTGAAAGTTTTCTCCTACAATCACGGATCTGCCTTCGTGGCAATACATCTGACAGGATTAATGAGTACTGTAGATTCACATTAAATTATATAAAATGTGAACAATCACCCATGATGATTATCTGTTGTAGAAGGGAACCTGCGGGGTCACATTTAATTATGACCTAACGTGTGGGACTGCTTCTTAATACTGTACCTTCATAAATTCTTGCATTGTTGCAATACACAGTACAGTAGTGCAGTATTTATAGCTGAGAGTGTTCCCACCAATTAAGCCATACCAATCCTATGAGCCTCACCTTCACAACTGCAATCCCAGCAGTGAGATTTTTATAGTTTTGGTCGCAAGAGTCCATCTAACATTTCAAAATGTGCCCATGGTAAATTGGTATAGAGTAATGTGGGATTAATGTACAGATTCGCATTAAATTACACTTTTTTTTTATGTACATATTTTATAAAAACAATGAGGCAGAAATCGCTTCAAAATGAAGAACAAAATAAGAACAAATTGAGGCTGAGGTGAAATGTCAAATGAGGTGTTTATTTTTTTTAAAATATAAATAGAAAAACCAACAAATCTTATCTATTTGCAGTAGGCGTACTACTTTATGTAATTACCCTCTAAAATATAGTACAGTATACTGCTATAATAATAATTTTGTATGTTTGAAAAGAACATTTGAAAATTTTGAGCCTGAAATTGGCGAAAATATAAGAACACTGAGCCTGGGCAAAATTTTACTGGTTCTTATAA